TGTACTTTCCGCAAGTTATGATCATGTCTGTTTTCCGCCCGTTATCCCCCGTTTTTACATCATGTAATTGTTATTGATTGCTTCCCTTGTACCCATCGAGTGCCAGTTGTTACTTCCGACTTATGAATGGACATTTCTCGCTGGATCTAAGGAGAAGAGCTCCATAAGCATCTCCGATATCCAGCAAGAGATTTGGCTTTCACTTGGTGATACCTACCCTTTCCACAGATTATCGCGAAACTGAAGCAGAAGTGCGAGACTGCCCAGTCCTGCGGCGAGGAATTCGATAGCTGACCGAACTGAACCCACACTCAACTGAACTGCTTAAGATCTCAGTAAACCAAGTTCAGTCGAAGTGAGCCGCCGATTATTCACTCGTTGTTTGCACACCAGTTCGCGTTTAATAGGTTCACAAGCGATTTGGCTAACATAACAGTATTACATATGTGATGACGTTTCGTATATTTTGGTCGAGCAGACTTGATGTGACGACAGGGCGTTTTGACACACGTGCAGCCACCACACTTCAGGACTACGCTCAGTAGCCACGCTTCGTTATTTGACCTCAAACGTGTGCACCCTCTATATCTGTCCAGGCTGGAGATTAAATGTCGATGCCTTGGTGACGGCTCGAGGTAGACTGTCCTACCTTGCGGTCGAAGGGGATTTCTTACGCGTTCCTGGGCAATAATTGTGATCCACTGCAAGTGAACCAAAGTGATAGCAGGTGTATGAACGATTTAGATGTATTTTTGCGCCAAGTGACAATGTTTTCCAATGCGCACCTGTAGGAGACTTGTGATTACGGCTCGATGTTGCGTGCACACTTGAAATGATAAATAACAGTATATTTTCCAGCATGAATTCACTGGACAAGAACCAGCCCGAAGGCAATGCGGAACATGTCAAATGCACCTAGCAGAAACAGACGGAGAACACTAATTATATTACTATTTATCACGTTGATTGTTTTTAATACGGTTCTGTTCATTGACAACGTATCTAGTTTGTGCTTCTTGGCTTTGCAGGCTGAGCCTCAGTCCAAACTTGTCCGCAACTTTTATTTTGTCAGCATTAAAATTTTCCTTGAAAGGTTGTTTTTGGTTGGCATACGCGTAGTTTGTAAAGTTCCTTATCAGTCCCACTTCACCGGAAATGGGCAGTGCTCGCTTGTATCTCTGAACTTTCTGCGGGCTCAGTAATCTCTAACTGTCAATTGGATCAATTATCCTGAGATAATTAGAGTTTAGAAGCCGTTGCTGCAAACCTCAACACACCACCACTGACGACCTGCCGGGATGAAAAAAGTACCGATTTACAGGATTTGGTGGGTGGCAAAAATTAAAACCTTGCGAGCTATGTGGTGGTGGAAAATTTGTCCAAAAATGGCAAGATATTTCAACAGAACAGCCCCTATTACAACGGACCTCAAAGTTTAGTATTGGTGTGTACCCGCTAACATCTGCAGCGTAAGCTTGTGTAGATCGCATATCGAAACAATCGCGTTTCGTTTTATGAGCAAGTAGAGCCACAAAATGTTGCCAAACATAGTAGCTTTAATTAGGATAGTGTATAGCAGGTGATAGAAATATGCTACAAACTACACCACGTGAGTGCTGACGTCACAGATTAATGGTGACGCAGCGTTTTTACAATGACCCCCAGATCAGTTTTTTCGCAGATTATTCAGCCAAGATTCATTTTACCAAATAAACAGTATAAAGTACCAAATAACTAAGCTTCTTACTAGTCGTAAGAATTGAAACTGGCGTCAGCACCCCTCGACGGACATGATCAGCCTGCTACGCAGCGTTTTATATCGTCGCGCCATTTGAGACCGATGGCTTCGAATGCTTCAAACTCGCCGCCGCAATGCGGCTGTGAATCGGATTCAGTGCAAGGCTGTAGCCTACCGTTGGTTGTGTTTGCGTCGTAAGAAGCTCACTGGCTTCAAAGACCTAGCTATTCGTCAGTTGTTTTTTTTTAAGGTGCTCTTTGTTTCTCCTAATAATCTACCATTTTGGGCGTCCCTGGTAACAGCGTTAAAAAGCCCTGTCATGTACGTGACATTCGTGACTATTTGGCAGCGCAGGGATATACGTGACATTCGTTAAGTAAGTTGTGCTCTTTCAACATTCTCTTAAATTACTTCTCTCTACGTAGTCAACCACACCTAGACCCCTAGGCACCCTAAAAAACACATCTGACCCCCAGCCCGCGCATTTTCCACCTGCCATTCACGCGACAAGTAATATGGAAGGTACCTCGCTTCTAACTGCCGAAATTGATCCAACAGAAAACATCCAATACGAAATGGCAACGACTCTGCCGTGACTCCAGGCTTACATTTGTCACTCGACCAGAATGCACGTGCTGCCAGCCGGCGCCCTATGCACCTGCATTCCTCACAACACCGAAAGGCAAATGTTGATGAGAGCAGATTTCAGCCGAACTTTCCGGATTGAGTAAAAAAAGAAACAGCTTGCACCGACTTTGGGCCAAACTGAGGAATAGCTCGGTTCACCGAAAAACTAGCTCTTAGCGTATACTAACAGCTAAACTAACAGCTATATATGTATATATATATACCTATATATATATATATATATATATATATATATATGATACATAGTGGATGATATCTTGAACTCTGTGACCAGTATGTGCGGCTCCTCTTCAACCGACGCCACGTTCAACCAGTACAGTTTACTTAAGCGGTGTGGTGGGCCGCAGAGACCGGGCCCTGGACTCCCGGCTATAGCCGTGTGTGCACTGATCCATGAAAGGAAAAGGCGTTGCACTATGAACACTTATTGCCTAGAACGCGCCTCGATTGATTTCTTATGATTTCAGATCAACCAGACAGTCATTAACCCCGCCGTGACCGCCACAGCAGAGAGCGGTGAAAACAGCCATCACACATCCTCCCGCTTTATTGTTGGCAAGCATCGTGCGACAGACGTGGCTCGCTCAACAACAAGCTCATGCATGAACATTACACACACCTCAGTACACTCCATGAATATGCTGGAACAAACGCACAATTGACGTCCACTACAGGTATTGCCGACCCACTCATCAGGAATTATGGTGCTGCGAAAACAGAGGACCACTAGGCTACAGTCGACTCCTGTATATCGGAATCGGTACATGATATGACAGCTAGAAATCAACAGGAGACGCGGGGCGGAGACGCTTGAACAGCGGTCTCCGTCGCACAGGGACGTCCCAATGTTTGCAAGCTTCAAAACCCTGTGACGCTTCATGGCTACAAGGAGGCCGATGTCATAGTGAATCGATATAAACATAAATGAAACATGCTGATGCAGACGATGACGGAATTCAGGGTGAGTGCTTCAGATCCATCAAGTTTCCCAGTTTGTGCTCAATGAATTCACAGACTGTCCGAAGAGGTCTGTTTGATGTATGTAGAAAAAGCTGTACTTCCATGACGCACCGACCGCTGTGTAGTCGTTGGATGAAGTCATTCATGTTATAATATAGAGTACGTTATATACTCGTCTGAAACGTTAAAAAAACAACGCCCACAAAAACATTGTGTCTTGGAAGATATGGCTTCCGTTTCTGACTTTTGCCAGCCGTGTGTGCAAACGATGTTTGTGAACGCACGCCATTAAACAGAGTGTATTTATATGTTCCGGGCACGTCAGAGCGCATGCTCCGCGCATACGTTCGTGTTCAATTATTTTGCGTTGTGAACACCGCTATGAGACCTCAGAGGCGATTTAGCTCCAGCCAAATACCATATCGCTGGCTGTCAAAATTCGATTTCGGCAGAAACAATTTAGCGCTGCTGAAGTAGGATGTGGCGTTTAGTCACGAACCAGGAACTTGTTATTTGTATGTGGCTCTTAAATTCTATGAAAAGAGGGAGAAAAACACACCTCGCGCATTTTTAATATTAACTATATCTGACTAGACTGTACAGGTCGTATGGATGTCGTGATTGCCTTTGTGATGACGCAAATTGGGTGGCGTAATACGACGTGCCGAATAAGTCACACGCCCTTATCATCAAATACAACCTATAGATGAAATGGTTTCATGAATGAAATAAATAAGGCATTTAATGTAACACGCTTTCGATGACACCACTCTGTGGCAATCCGCTGCATTTCTGGACTTTGCAACCGACTGCAAATGTCAAACCAACGTTCTCTCATAGACAAATCTGCTAATGATAGATTAGTTGACAACAAACATTATGTGGTTGTGCAAATTCTTGCGTAATACTGTGGCACTCGTGACTAGTGCTCCATCCCGTATAGTGCCAAATGGGCATTGTGTATGCAGCACGTTGCAAGCACATCTCAGTGTCTGTGCACACAAACGATCGCAGTGTAATGAAGAGCCGGCTAAAACAGGAAAAGATGCAGTGGGCAGCAGCCGCAGTTAACTTATATGTGCGTCGGGTCACACGGTATCAAAACGAAACTCGGCCACCGTGCCGCATCTCTGCGTCCCTGCCGACGGCTGGAGCGCCCCACCAGTGCCGCATGAATCCTAAGGCCATGACTCCGCGCCCGTACCCGGCGCAGCTGCCTGAGCAGGTCTAACACACGACACACATCACAAACAGGCGACAGGACATGCACCGGCTGCTGCTGACCGGGGACGGAGCTGGCAGGCCCCGGCCTCAGCGGGCTACTCCCGCCACGGCGCCGCGCACTTCAAGCGTCCCCTGTGCCGTTTCGCGCCGCCGCTGCCGTCGCCGTGGCAGCGCGCCTGCGGCACCGTTTGCCGCAGGCTGACGTCGGGCGTCACTGCCAATGTCTCCGACTTTTTGCGGCGTGCCGGACCGTGGAGCGCCACCGTCCGCGCGTCAGGGTCTGTTCGGGTGCTGAGTGCCGCGTGTGGCGGCGTCTCCACCTCCCACCTGTCTCCTCGGTGCCGCTGTCGCTCTCTGGAGCGGCGGCGGAGTCCGGCTGACCTGACCTCAGTCACCAGAGGTGGCCGGGGCCCGGCTGACTTGACCCCGGTCACCAGGGGCACGGCTGACCTGACACTGGTCACCAGGAGCTGGGCTGACCCGACTCCGGTCACCAGCTGCAGGCCGGCTCTCAGCGAGGTCTGGCCAGCTGGCGTCAGTAGGGGTGCGCCGGTGGCGCCGCCTCCACCTCGCCCAGCCAGGACTCGGGGCTGGGCGGGAACTCGGGATAGCCGGCAGTGCTGGAGGCGCTGCTAAGCTCGCCGGCCATGTGTGGCGGCGGCAGAGGGCCCGGCCGACCTGTCAATAGGGCTACCGTCAGACCCTTAACCGGCCACCGTCAGAACGCCGACCGGCCACCGTCAGACCCCCGACCGGCTACCGGCAGACCTCCGACCAGCAACCGTTAGCCAAAACCGATTTTGAAATCGCTTATCTCAGTTCTCGACATATCACGTAGGCCACGGTGGTTCATGCATCTCTGGTCCCAAGGGCTCATAGCAGCCGCGCGCCCTCCCCCATCTCGTCCTCCGTGTCCCCGCGCCGGCACCGCTGGCCACGCACCGAGGTGCGGCGGGAACTGGACGCCGCCGTCGCCGTACGACGGGAAGACGGCGGCCGGCATGGGCAGCCGGTGACCGGGGCCCGGAGAGCCGTTCCCGGGCAGGTTGTACGGCGGCGTGCCGGGACCTGAGGAGACGTGAACGCTCGTGTCAGCCCAGAGTGGGGGAGGGGAAGGGGCGACGTGAGACGTGTTGACCGTGGTCACGACGTGGTGCCGTTCGCGATCGTGGCTGGTGCTGACATTCACTCGGCGTGCAGAAGCAATCTGGACGAGAGGGAAGCTGAAAGCCGTTTGATCTTGTCTCACGAAGTAAAACATTGGGGATTTTCGGAGCTTTGTTATGTCGCCTGTAGCTGTTCTACATTGATCCTATGTTGATCAGCTACATTAGACAAATACATACCACTGCTGATGGCGGCTCCGACCAACACTTATTAACTGCGGTATACTCCATCGATGCATGAAGTTCCAGGATCACAAACGTCTTCCACCCTGGTGAAAACCAAGCCTTATGAAGATCAGCGGCGGGATCGAGCCCAGCCCTCCGACCACGAGCCGGCGGCTGAACCACTCGGCAACCGCCCGCCGCCGCGTGCCACTCACCGTGCAGGAAATGGTGCGGGTGTGGCACGTGCGGACTGACCACCTGGCCCGGCTCCATGTCGCACGAGCTGGGCGTGTGCGGGTAGTCGATCGTCAGCTCGTCTGCAGGCGGCGGCCACGTGACGAGTCAGCCGACACGGCGGAGCTGCTGCCAGAGCAGCGCGCGCGGCAGCCGGACATCCCGGCAAGGAAGCCGTGCAATGAGCCACGTGCGAGGACGTTAGGTCGGAACTTTCCGCGTCTATGCGCGCGGTGCACGCGACTTCACGAAAATAACAGTAAACAGAAAAAAACAAACGCAAAAAACGCAAGATCCTCTGGTTTGTCGGCTAGCCTAGGGCGCCATATAGTTAAGTAGCTCCCGCTGCTGAAAACGTTTCAAAGACAAGCTCGTGCAGCAGGCCTATCGACAGAGGCGGAGATGCACGTTCTACCCTGCCAGCTATACAGCCGCCTCCGATCCCCCTCCGGCGGGCCGATAGGCGGAGAGGCGTGAGGAGCTCGCTTGTCGCCCCACCGCCATCGTGCCTTACAAATGGACCAATTTACCAACGGCATCGCTCAAATGTTATACTCTGCTTTATTGGTCCACCGGGTGAAGGGGTTGGCCGAGCAAATCAATTCCACGCGCAGGAAGGCGGCAGCGGTAAAAGCTGCAAATCCCGCGGGACCTCTAATGGAGGGTGACTTCAGTCGCTTGCAGGGAGAACCCCCAGTCACTCGTGTATCATTTGACTTAAGCGGGCCGTGACTTCCCTGCGGGGTCAATTGATTGATTGGATGGCCTACGTGACATGAGGGTTGCCGGTGCTACGTGCCCCGGTTAGACGTAGTTCTTGCTTTACGGACGTCTCCTGCTTTGTTTTGTATTATCTGTCGACTACGTTATTGTCAGCATGCATTTCCATGACATGGGTATCTATTGCTCTTATGCTTCTCACACCGCTTTCTTCTCGCGTTTATTGGCCTACGTTTCTATCCCACATGGTCCAAACAAAGGTGTTGGAGCTATATTCAGACTAGGGTGTCAACTATGATAAGCAGCCTAACTCGTAACTAGAATCCTACTTTAAATGTGATTTCCATCACCAAGTTTTGAATTTTCTGTGAGTGCTGGTGATTTTTGTTTCGTTGATTTGAACTTCCGTATTATCTTTCTGTTCAAGAGATTAAAATTCCGCCTGCTCTACACTACGAACCCCTCACCTGACATACTGAGGCCCCATGTTTTTTTCCGCGCCACTGCCTCCACATATGCTCAGTAGCGCACCCATTTCCTCTCGCGCATCGTCTCCTCTCCGCACCACCTGCCGCTCTGTTCGCGAGCGCGACCCCGTCTCCGTCGCTCCGCTCCCCTCCGCGGCACCAATGGCCTGGAAGCCCCGCTCCGATCCCGACCGGCTGTGCTGACGTCCCCGGCGGCCGGGGCGACGACGGCCGGCATGTGTGTCCGCCGGCGGCGCCGCTCGCTCCGCCGACCGGGCCCACGCCAGGGGCACCGGCATTGATCCCTCCCACCGCCCCAGCCCGCCACCCCGGCTGAGCCGCGAATTTATGATGCATCGCCACCATGTCATCCCAGCTCCCCCGGCTCCACCCATTCTGCGTTGCAGTCAATTTGTTAATAGTTTTCCTAATCCGCGAGATAAAGAGGAAAGCGGCTGGAAAAATGGCCAAAAGCCGGCGGGAAGGGAGGGAGGCTCAGGCGGCACTTAACGAGCCCTCGGTGCAGCGCCAGAAAAACGCTCCAGGGTAATCTAACCGAAATCTAATGCCCCTATATATGGCTGCATTGCGTAGGGATATTAATTTAAGTGGCAGCCAACTAACAAGCACAGGTAAAGCTGAGCGAATGATTTAGAGGACGGTATTTAACTGAACATTATAATTATTTTATCCAAGATGTTTTGATTATGTGCGCAAATTTTCATAAATAAAAACATTTATGTTAGTCAGAGACAAACAGATAAACACACATTTGTACAAACATGTATGCATGCACGCATAAAGACAGACCGAAATACAGACAGACAGACAAACAAACAAACAGACAGACAGACAGACAGACAGACGGGACAGGCGGACAGACAGAAATATTGAATTATCAAAACAAAACATGATACTTGAATGGACTGATGGCCCATTCCACCTGGGAGCATGGTGTAAGACAATGCTTCGGGAGGTTCGTAAGGCACCGGCGAGAAACAGCACGCCGTCTCTCACCCGGTTGCATGCTTCGGAAGTACCTGTTTGCCCGACTACGTCGGTTCCATCCGTCGCTCGTCAGAAGACAAGCGAGGGGACGGACGGGCAGACAATCAGACAATCAGACCATCAGACAATCAGACAATCAGACAATTAGTTCCGTCCGCTCAGGATGGCCACCAGCGGCAGCTCACCGTCGTTGTTGTTGTAGACGGTGTCGTCGTCCGACTCGGACGTCTTCTCGCCCGCGCGTCGTTTGTCGCCCGGCTTCATGTTTCGGAAGTACTGGCCCCAGCGTGACCGGCCGGCATCCTTCTTCAGCCGCTTCTCCTTGGCTCGCCTGGCCAACAGGACGCGGGCGAGGGTAACATGGGACGGCTTTGGGGCCTGTCGTGCTCGGGTACTCATCGCTCTTATCTCTTTCAGAGAGGCGAACGCTGAGCGAATCGAAAATCGCGTAATTGTCCTAGACCTATTACCATGAGGATCAAGGACAGCGACGATGCGAATGGTATACGAAACGCATTAAATTAATGGTAGGTACATGACATAAGCCAATGGATTCACTCAGTGTAGAATGTCTTTAATGGGATGCTCCACCTTTGGGACATATGACAAAAACGTGCTCTAGTGAAACCTCAGGACCAGTTAAGCCTAAATGATAGCACTGGGCAGTGCCAGTGTAACACCATCAAGACATAATAAGGATACAAAGTTCAATTATTTTCGAGCCGAAATTACGCTGTCAACGCTTTGTAACAGCACTAAACTTCTACCCCGCGGTCGCGACATCCGTCGTCATGGCGACGGCAGAATCAGCTGGAGGGGTGGTTACTGTCAGGTGTTACTGAATGACGTCAGGAGAAACGAACGGTTGCGTTTGGCACAGCGGACGTCGACGGCCAGTTGCCAAGAAGCGCATTGGTCGAAGTTTCAACCAGTGCGTCACTACAGACTATGTTGCTACTCCGTTTCCATAAGCCAAAGTGTGCTTCGAAAAGAGCCACTGCGGTTGATAGAGGAGAAATCAAAGCCATCGTATAACGTTTCGTTGAACTTGCAGGATAAAAGCTTCATGCTCGCATTACCTTTTTGTCTAAGAGAGTTTCAAACTTTCGTAACATAGATTATACAAACATTTGACAAAGAAGTGTGTTGCAAACATAACAGAACGTATTCGTTGGAAAAATCACCGCAACTTAAATGTATAACTTCCATAGTGATGATCAGAGAGTCCCATGAGATTTCTCCCGCAGGATCGGCAACTTCAAAATCAAAATTCTGAACTATTCAGAAGGATTCAGAGAAAACTGGTATCACTGATCAGATTGCACGCGTCTGATCTAACAATAAGTGAAAAGTACAAAAAGGTAACATGCTTCCTTTAACCTAATTCAATTGTCTCAAAAGCTAGAAAAAGCTGGTTCACAGGGCAGTTTTTTTTCCAGAATTGACAACCGCAGGGAGTTTGTCATTCCGTTCTGCAGGTATGGCTCTTAAAAAAGAGGCAATGCCGGAGCTCGGCGAGCAAGACGCACATGATCTGGCACAATTATAAAGATGAAGGTATTTTCAGACCATCAGACATTTTTTTTTTAAATGGCTGTCCCCAATATACCAGCCCACAACGGAATTGCGAATCATACAACCAGAGGATTTTCTCAATTAATCAGTGGGTTTTCTACCGGTACATCTGGCCAAACGAGAGACCGCTCATTCAGCAGAGGACGGCGTTGCCATGGAGACGGATTCAGAGGGCCGGGCTGAAAGGCCGGAAGCCAGAAAACACGCCGCGGATTGATGAAAACGCAGCCGTAGGGAAGCTCCACGACCGGCAGTGCGATTAGGCGGGCGTCGTTGCAAAAACATCGAGAGAAAATGGAAAACGCCGCCGACAAGCAGAACATCATGCTCGTAATGGTCGCCGAACGAGCGATCCATGTAAATGTACGGCAGGACCTTGCTAGACCTATTCGCTGAGTTCACCATGCGCCGATTGTTAGCTGCTGCCTGACAGCAGAGCCAACCAGTGCCATGCAGCTCTCTTACGTAGCTTAAGGGCCTGAAGGCATGCTTTCCGTTTGCCGCACCAAGCTGACCAAGGTTATGACGGCTTCTCCCCGTTGGGGGAGGCGGAGGGAATGGGAGGGGGGGGGGGGGGGCAGTATGCCGCAGCACTTCCAGACTATCACATGGGCAGGGTTGCAAGCACACACGGAGTTGCGCCGTCATCAGACCATCGCGCCGTCATCAGACCATCGCGCCGTCATCAGACCACCGCGCCGTCATCAGACCATCGCGCCGTCATCAGACCATCGCGCCGTCATCAGACCATCGCGCCGTCATCAGACCACCGCGCCGTCATCAGACCATCGCGCCGTCATCAGACCATCGCGTCGTCATCAGACCATCGCGCCGTCATCAGACCATCGCGTCGTCATCAGACCATCGTGCCTTCATCAGACCATCGCGCCGTCATCAGACCATCGCGCCGTCATCAGACCATCGCCCCGCCCGATCCAGCCGGAAGCGCCGCCTGCGCTGGCCAGTCCCACGGCACACTGACCTGTTCTGGAACCAGACCTGGACGACCCGCATGTCCAGTCCCGTTTCCCTGGCTGAGCTGTTCGCGAACGTGCCTGGCCGGCTTGCTGCTGTTGTTGTAGGCCACCTTCAGCGTCTCCAGCTGCTTGGCCGTGATGGTGGTGCGCGGCCGTTTGTTGGTCGAGTCGGTCTCTGTGGACGCAGCGAGGTGTCAGGCGCGGCCAGCGGTCCTCGCCGCCGGCCAGGTGGGGTGCCACGACAGGCTGCGCGCCGGCCCCAGACAGACGGGCCGCTGAAGACGGCATGAAGACTGTTCAGAAGCTGGAGAACAGCAGCCCACAGGCTACCGCTGACGGCTGCGGGACTGGTGTTCCGGCAAGCTAAAGACATCGGGCATGGCCGCTCCGCGTGCTGCAGCTGATCTGAGCACGCGTATTATCTGCTCCGTGCCCGGTGCCTCTCCGTCCCATGCCCTCCCCGCGGTGAGCTGGGCGGCTCGCGGCGTGCCTGCCTGGTCTTCGCGGGAGCGGTTCGGAGAACCCCTCAGGTCCGGTCTGCAGTAGGGTCCCCTCTCCTGACCCGCGGCGCCACCCACCTGTGTCGCCGCGCTGCTTGGCCTGCTGGTAGTCGTCCTTGCAGACGAGCTTGCCGTCCTCGGTGAGGTAGAACTCATCGCCGGTGTTCAGCTGGCCGCTGCACAGGACGCACACGAAGCAGCTCAGGTGGTACACGTTGTCCTGGGCCCGACGAACCACCTGGTCGGGTGGGATGCCGGCGTCGCAGCCCGAGCACTTAGCCCCGTACCGCCTGCGGGCAGCCAGAGGTCAGGCCAGGTCAGGCCAGCTGGCCCCGCACGTCGGAACGAAAGACAGACGGTGGGTGTGAGCACCATTGTGGCGAGCTGGGAGCACGCTTGCTGTCGGTGTCCATTGAGAGCAGTCACTTATGCAAGCGGGCGACGATGATGCGGCCGTTCACCGTCGGGAATGCGAACTGCTCTAGGAATGTGGCGAGAGTTGAACAGTGCGGTTGCCTCCAACAGACTTAAGTAAAGTTATCTGTCAGCAGAAGATGCAAAATTACGCATCAGCAGATGATGTCACATCACGCATAAGCAGATGATGCAAAATTATGCACTGTCAGAATATGTAAAATTACGCATTAGCAGAAGATGTTAGCTACGCATTAGCAGAAGATGTAAAATTGGCAGTTAGCATATATGGCAAATCACAGGACAGCGCCACATTTCGTCGTAATTCGAATGAGTGGAGAAAACGATGATCGGCAATGCATTTCAGTATCTCGTGCGCACACTCAGTGCAAACTAACGTAGCGTCGTCTTCAGCTGCATGCGCACAGAGGCATGGCAACATCCTACATACAGTTCTGCTTTCGAGTCAGTCATCCCTCCAGAACCGCCTTAAATTATCCTTCTAATGAAGCGCGTACATGGCTAGAGAATACGACATGGCAGGCGTGACACCCTTAACAGCGCTTTAAATGTAGCGCGTACATGGCTAGAGAATACGACATTGGCAAGCGTGGCAGCCTTAACAGCGCTTTTAATGTTAGCGCATACATGGGTAGAGAATACGGCATAGCAGACGTGACAGCCTGAACAGCGCTTTGATTGAAACGATTTTAAAACCGCATTATATTGCTCATTAAAAGAAGCCCGTTTTAACGTTATCGAGGGGCCATCTATTCTGAATGCTCTCCACCCCGGGCTGCATATCCGGTGCGCCTTGAACGCCTTCTCTCATTAACCACATGGTGTTTTGGGATACACTTACCCCAGAAGTTCAGGTGGGTACATAGTTACATGATTCACTGCGGCGTATCCCAACTTCGCATGCAGAATGCGTTGGTTCTGGGCATATTTTTGCATCCTGCGCATCTTCACTTATGCTCATATAAGTTGCTAACCAAGCTGTCGCACTGCCAAAACCGCACAGCAGTATCCACGAATGCGGCAAAAGTCGTCTGAGGAAGTATGCAGGCGGATGCGGGCTTTGCTCCCCCGATTCAAACGTTTTTTCTATGCTTTCCTTCGGGCGCTGTGATAATTCTGTGAAATCCTGGTCTCTAAATGACGTAACTTAGAAGGATTCCTTTCCTTTGGACGCTGCGATAATTATGTGTAACTCTGGTCCCAAAATGACGTAACTTAGAAGGGTTCTGAATGATGTAACGGACCGCCGCGTCGCAGCGGCAGATAACGAACTTATGTACACCTTTGCCAAGCTATATCCGTGTGAAAGTACCGAACAGCAAAGGCACGCTATCGACTGAAACTGACACGCGCAGCTCCAATGCACTTCTTTCGTTACATGCATGGTACTACTAATATTACGAGATTGGGCCTATCGCAAAAGCCGTGCAGGCCGATGAGCAAGGAAAACATGATATAGCTTTTTGGTAGGTATGAATCTTTCAACTTGCCAAGCCAAACGGATGTAGCGTATTCTTCCTTATCTGTCATAGCACGCGGTACACCACTCAAGGCCAATTGGATTTTAAATGACGTTTGCTTGCGGACCATTTAAAGGCGAATCCAGTTGAGCTTTAACAACTATCAAAACAGCTTAGAAAGACGAGGTCGTTTAAAGGTTGTCACCGAAAAGCGCACATGGCAGGAGTAGCATCCCGCGCGACAAGCGCATCCCTTCAGAGGTTTGCGTCTGACCGTAAGGCCCAGCCGGCCATTGCAGGCTGTTTATTGATCGTCTTTGACACTTCACTAAGATATGCGCGTGGTTTGCATCCAATGGCCGTAGAGCAGCTTGGGTCATCTATGCAGCGAATAAAAAATGATTGTGTAACAAATTCTATATATATATATATATATATATATATATATATATATATATATATATATATATGTGTGTGTGTGTGTGTGTGTGTGTGTGTGTGTGTGTGTGTGTATATATAATGAATGGAACTCTTGAAACAAGCACCTGCGCACGAAACGCCGTGATATTCAAACGAACATAATCCGGCGCCCAGCAGAACGCTGTACTCAGCTGAGCGGCTTGAAGAGCAGCAGGAGCGGCTAGTAGAGCATTTCTCGTGTTGAATTTTCACGATTCGGTCCAGTGTTATCCGGCTAGTCCGGATCAAAATCGCCAATCAATCCGCTTATCACAGATTTCTTAATCCAGTCCAATCCACGTCATTACACGTCTTGCCGGAGCAAATTGCGAAATGCGCGCGTGCCAAGCCGTTTCCACGTTAAAGTAAATGTTTCACATTTGAAGATATTGAAACAAGCATCAGAGATGATAAAACAAGACCACTCATAACCATTGGTATATTTATAAGTGGAAAATACTGTTCTAGACAGCACAACTGTCTGTTTAATAAACATGCTCCTCAATGCGTTATGGTTTGATTACGTTATCGTACCTTGCACGACAATGATTGAGAGCCAATGAACCACCGTTATATCTGGAAATCGTGCTCATCAACGCCACCTATGAACACCTCGGCAATTTCATTTCCATATTGCTTTATTTTTTTGCAAAAAAGGAATAGATGTTATAATTTTTACCTTATATTACGACTATAGTTGGCTTTGATCGCCGTACGGCTTATAGAATGACGGAATTTGAACGACGTTATTATGACGTAATAAATGCCAACGTGACTTTGAAATACTTTTCCCGATATACCCTTACCCATTTTCGCGGGTGCATTGCAGAGAAACTAGAGGGGCTTAGGTTTTAAGAAGGGCAGAGTTGTGAACATCACAGAAAAGTATTCGAGATGGCTATTTCAGTCCCAAATCCCATATCAATGTGGAACACTTTCTCTAAGGACATCTCAAAATTAAAAATATAAAAATTTAATAGCTGGATCGACCATCTCACTTCGTGTATGACACTTCAGCAGTGTTTCCACTCTCGGACACACCAAATTATAACACAGCCTCATCTGCGATCACTACCTGGTGCAAGGTTGCCGAATGTGTTTACATTGTAATCCACGCATGCGGCTGTCCAATGTCCGCGGTACCTGCTCTGTCATTCAAGGGAATAAAACAGCTGCGCCATTGATGACACGAATATATATATATATATATATATATATATATATATATATATATATTTCTTATTGCTCACATGCCAGATGCTACCAAAACATTATCTTTTTTGCCATACTAGAACAACACAGCATACATTTTCACCTGTAATCGTGCATGGCACAGCTGCATTAAGCCCCATCCACGCAGTCAAAAGTAAATGTGTCCAAGTATCTTGACAATAGTACGCAACTTTGACGACGTTGTTTTGTTTTGAGCGCGCTAAGAGAAGTACCATGGATACTTCAGCAGTTGGTGCAGCGTTTTAGTCAGTGTGTAACGTCTTTCGTGCGCCGTGAGTGCCTTAGACCCAAATATAGAATCCCCCAATGTTCACAGGACATGGCACGAGAATTATGTATTTGTCACGAATCATCCGACATCTGTTATGACCGCTGGCGCTTTCACATCTTATACACGTACCATCCCTTTGCCGAAGGCTCTTGTGATCGCTTAAACTTTTCTTAATCTTATGAAATATTTTGCGATTGAATAGTCTGTGGCATATTCACCCACGTTAAGTTCCTGACCCTGTGTAAAGTGCGTTTGAATCTTCTATATCATTACAGGAGAACCACAGATATGCAAATGCAGTTTTGCCGTCGAATTTGTGCAAAGTTTATGCAAGAGGGAGCAGAATACAAGCAAGCAAGCAAGCAAGAGGCGAGAAGAACAGATCAGTTGAGATTGCATACTTGATTTGAAGCTGGTATAAACTCAGAAATTTGGCTGACTGACTAGGTTAACGGAAAACTACAGTTGTTGCTATCAAATTAACCTTTCTAACTAGCTCAGACAGCAGTTTGTATTTGAAAACTCTGTGGCGTACTTTCTACCAATAAAACGTGCTCTTGCCCCACTGGTCAGTTCTAAAATGCACTGTCACCCACTGGGTTTAAATAGGGTTGTTGACAAAATCAGTAGGAATGCTAGTTTTGTTATGATAAACTAGGGTATCAGATCATTCTATATTTTGGTTACCTTGGTGGAATGGGGGTTCTAGTTTTCATACCGGTATCTGAGTGTCACTCATTCAAGTCAAATCGTCAATGTGACCTGTTCCCCAGAAACCTTGTTTGTGGAATATGTAGCCCAGCGATGTTCTATGGTTTGTTTGTGCATTGCTTGGAAATGAGAGCACAGTATTGTATTGTTCTAAAGTTTGTTTTCTAAGTTGATGTCTTCATTAAGAGTTCGAGGGACAATTTAATAAATAATTTCCTTTGACTGATTTTTGGTCCGCTCAATCCATGTGAGCCGGCAAATTTGATAACCCGGTACGATCCTAATCCGTGTTTTGGTGGAAATTTTCAATCCGATTTAATCCGGCACGCGGATGGGTAAAGAATCCGTAGATTGATTCAACCCGTGAAATGCTCTGTGACCACCAAACTGGGTGGCTTTAAAAGACGCATCATGCCTGCGATGCCCACATCGGACGCCGTTGTGATTATGAATGAGACAGCATAGGACGCACCTACCCGATTCGACCAGCACGCAAATGGTGCAGGGAGACAAAGCACGGGCACAAGAGCACGGTATTTATGATAAATTATGGACAGGATGGACACCAAGACATAAAGCCATAACGTATTATGACAAAGCATGCACCATAATGGGCAGAATGGACAGTTCATCCCTCACGGCACATGTCGTTGTGTGGTGTTGCCTGCATTACGGGTGAAACCACATTGCATTGGCTTGGTGGGTTGTTACATTTGAAGCCTAAGAAAACTTTTCTTCAACTCCGGCATATTTTCTGATGGCCATGCTACTCCGAGTCTGCGTTGGTCCATCCCGACTCGAACGGCTGCGATACTCAACGTCATTACACCTACACTGCTTGTTTAGAGTTCATATTACATTACGTGTGCGAAATTCGCGAGAAGCCGGATTTCTGTTCGGCTCAAATTGCGTCACAAACAGCTCTCCGGAGACCAACACGACAGATGACTTCCAAACTTAGTCCAAGCACTCGTTGGCTTTCATCAAATGTAAATTATCGTCAAATGCGCAATTCGCTTAAAAGCAGCGTTAATTTCGGGTATTTCGGACCCAAGCTGCCTTTGCCAATGCACGGACAAAAAAACGACACTAACTTGCGAGCTAAAGCTGCCAGTTCCCCAACTATAGAAATTTAGCTGTCAAAACTGTCAAGGCAAATGTCGCTGGAATTCCGCGTGAAGCGTCTTCGTCAGTGACGGGCTACGTAGGTTAGTGTCTCAAGGAGTATCACGTCACCAAAACCTTCAACGTGTCAATTCATATGGAGCTATCGTTGATTTTTCACGTGGTTATCGCAAAACTATGGATCGTCGTGAGGAATCTGCCATGTTGCTAAGTCTTTTATGACGTTCACATCTGGGCCGAAGCACAATGGAACGACGTCCGTAAATTTGCAATGCAGCTCGTAAAGCAGCTGGGCTTAGAAAAGAAGAAAGAAACTGAGAGAATATGTAAGGAGCGAACTAATAAATGTCGGAACGTACGCACTGCACACGGAACCATCAAAGCGCTCGCCGCCCGTGGCAGTAGCAGCCTCAAGACCAGGAGCAACAGTCTCCGATCCCGAGGAAGGCGAAAGGATCAGCTCTAAAACGCCTCAGGGCACGCATCGTCAGCCGCGGGGCTGGTTTCGAGCATCAGCTGGACTGATGTTCAGAAGTGGGGCCAGGGGCCATCTTCACAGGTTTTACTCCGTCGTACGCGGGGTAAAACATGTAAATGAGCATTAAAACGCAAGAAACGTCGCACGCGTCTCCTGCGTTTTATGTTTTGATGTGAAGCATTGCCGAGAGTCGCCATTGTGCCTGAACACTTGAGTACCATGTACAATATCAACGACTTTTGCTTGAGAGGTTGTGGCAACCACGCTTCCCACAAAAACCAAGTGTGATTAACTCATTCTGAGGGCAGTTCGCTTCACTTTTAAACAACGTACCGTTCAATTACTTACCACTTCCAAGTCTTGACATCCTTTTCCTAAGGCTAGAGTTGATACTTTTCAATAACCTTATGGTTACGGCCGCAAGTTCGACATATTTCGTGATCATTTCCTGCACGCTGACAGAGGTGCTTTAGCATGCGCGTTGCAGGCGTTTAATTGTGTTTGGGTAGTACGAGATTGAGCAGGCATTGAAATGCGTGTTGGTTACGAAAATAGCGCTCACCGCAGGCATTCACAAAGCTATGATGTCATCACATTGACACGGATATAGAATCTATCTCTGGAATTTTGTAGCTTAAGGACAGCATTCAACGTTCATGTAAACACTGGTGACACGCTTCTTTGGCTTGCTCTAAGTGGAGCTTTAAGCAAGAAGCGTGTGCTCAGACCCGTTGCAGAGCACCCGGTGGGGATGGCCGCTACCGACCTGGAAAGGTCCTCCTTGCCCGAAGACCTGGCCGGAGCGAGCCGGTACTGACCTGAAGAAATCCTTGCGCGAGGACCTGGACGGAGCGAGCCGGTACTGACCTGAAGAAGTCCTCCTTGTGCGAGGACCTGGCCGGAGCCAGCTGGTACTGACCTGAAGAAGTCCTTGCGCGAGGACCTGGCCAGAGCGAGCCGGTACTGGCCTGAAGAAGTTCTCCTTGCGCGAGGACCTGGCCAAGGCGAGCCGGTACTGACCTGAAAAAGTCCTCTTTGCGCGAGGACCTGGCCAGAGCGAGCCGGTACTGACCTGAAGAAGTCCTCCTTGCAGAAGACCTGGCCGGAGCGGACGAAGCACTTGTCGGCCAGCTTTGCGCCGCAGTCGGCACACACGAGGCAGGCGCTGTGCCAGCAGCGGTCCAGCACCTTCAGGATGTACCGGTCCACGATCGGCTTCTCGCAGCCGCCGCACTTGGGGATCGTCGCTGCAACGGAGAGGCGGGCCGTGGGCGCGAGCTGCCGTCTGGCGGTGGGCTTATTCAGAGGGACGCCCAGGCGGGGTGCTGCCCTGGGTGGGTGTGGAGGAACGTCCAGGCGATGCTGTCCTGCGTGGGCGTGCAGGGACGCTCAGGCGGGATGGGCAGGAGTGCTGTCCTGGGTGGGTGTGGATGGGCGCTGAATCGGGGTGGGCGGGGTTGCTGTCCTGGGTGGGTGTGGAGGGGCGCTCAGTCGGGATGGGCAGGGGTGCTGTCCTGGGTGGGTATGGAGGGGCACTCAGTTGGGATGGGCAGGGGTGCTGTCCTGGGTGGGTGTGGAGGGGCGCTCAGGCGGGCTATGCGGGGCGGTGCCGCTGTCCCGGGTGTGTTTGAATGGACACCCAGGAGGTTGGGCAAGGGCGAGGTTTGCGTAGCTATCGGATGAGGTTCTGTTTACGGACAACACGGAGTTAACGGGACATGCTGCGCTCACTCAGCAGAAGACCACAGAGTTAAGGGGAAATGTCACGCTCACTCACCAGGAGACCACTGAGTTCTGGCGAAATGCTCTGCTCACTGAGCAGAATTCAACGGGGCTTGCGGAATATATGGCGCAATAGATATAGGTTATGCATTTTCACCATCCACCAAACTCCCGCAGTTAACGTCACTACGTACGCCCTGCAGTTCACCAGCCACAGGCACTGGCACACGAGAATAGAACAAGTCAAGCATCGCTAATGACCATTACGATCAGCTGTGCCTCAGAAAACAGCTTACCGGCAAAACGGCTGCGTCTCATTCGTTCAACCAAGCGCTATTTACGCCATCTCAGGTATTAAGATCCTGATCCTTCAATGGCTGGCGTTTCTGAATGAATCTATCCCTTCAATCCTTGGTCAATGTTTGTACCTTCTTTTCATTTATATCTAGTGTACGTAATGATACATCCTCACAAGTGGAGATGGGTGACCGTATCACTGACATGATTTAAATGAGTGTCTGATGGATGCCATGGTCCGTTTATCTCATAGCGGGATCAGAATAACACACAGACGGTAGAAATTTACATTCGTTTTTGGATTTTAATGCCTCAAAAGGCCTCGTTAAAAGATACCAGTGAAACCATGTGAAACGTCCGCGAAAGGCGTGGTCTTAGTCCATCACACTCACGAACCATTTCGTCACGCCTCTTCAGCACAGTTCCCTGACTGGCGACACTTTCTTGCGATACAGTCTGACGATCACATTAATCACCTCCAACGCGCTTCAGGCACGCGTTCGGGCAGGCCGGCAGCCCCGTCAGGTCAGCTGACTCGACCCGACCCCGACGTCGGCTCACCTTTGATAACGTCGGGCACCTCGCAGCCGAGGTCAAAGGGCAGTCCGGCTGGTCGGGCCGGCGCCGGCGGCGAGCTGCCCTTGAGCGGGGAGGTGACCACGGCTCCCGGGCCGCCCGTCATCACGGTCATCACGGGATCGCCTCGCTGCTGCCGAGCCGCGTCTGGCCGCGCGCCGCAGACGAACGCCACTGGCACCGTCCCCGCACCCCTGCCGCTGCCCTCCCCCCCCGCCCCCCGCCGCCGGCCCAGCCGGCCCCCGTTTTTCTATGGGGTCCAGGTGGCCGTAAGGGCGAGATTTGATGGCAGCGCGGCCGGACAATGAGCGGTAATGATAGCGTTGAACCGCGGCACGTGCCCGGCACGTCACCTGTCTGTGGGATCGGGGCGCTGTGGGAAAGCTCTGGCGGCTCGACCCGCGCCACAAAGAGCTCCGCCTACGCCTGGACCTCTATCTCCGCCTCTGGACTAGCCTGCGTTTCACGATCGCCAGCTGGCGACGTTTGACGGGCAAGGAGGCGCGGCGTCAAAGTTGACGACTGTGATGAGGCCACGTTTGATACGTGGGTGGGACGGAGGGTGCCGACAACGGCTGGACCCACCCGCAATGTTTTTCTTTTTCCATGTTCTAAAACGCTGCGAACATTGTAAATCCAGTGAGTCCATAATATGCCCAAACATGCGCAAACAATTTGAATATGGTCACATTTGAGCTTTTTTGTTCAACTGATCCCGCCCATTTAGAATGGAGAGCCTGCAGCTAGGCAACGTTTTGCAATGAGGGTGCTGAGATCAATATTCACCCTATTAAATGGATTGATAGACTAGGTTCGTATTTTGCAGCACAACAGGCTCGACATGCACGTTTATGGAAGAACGTGTTGGGTCACGCACCCACTAAAGTAATATAACATGAGGTTATCGTACCACGTCCACAACTCAATTGAGCAGGACGAGTTCAAAACGGCGACAGCACTGTATTTTGTCCCGACGCAGGTATTTTGGCTTCTGTTGAGTGACGCCATGCAGCAAACCACAACAGCATGCAAATCAGCATGCTATTATTACGCACATCATGGATGATTTAGCAATGATGCGGTAGGGGCAGGAGGCCCAGACACAGTTGGTAGTGTTTGCTCACGACCGTGTGCCGTGTCATGGATTGGAGTCGGCTGCTGGCCTGGGGTCCGTCATCCTCCGATACATGCGGCGCAGCTAATTGCCACGCAAAATTACCAGATAGGTTGCTGTACCATAAAGCAATTTAGGAAGGCTATAAAAATGACATGTTCAGTGCAAGAGATGAGCATATTTGCTACACTCTGACAACAAAACAGCGCTCACAATAGAAACCCTATTTTTGTAGTTTTCCCCTCTGTACGGTTCAAAATATAAAACGACACGTGCACGAAAATTCAGCTCTCAAAATGCTCGCGATTAAGCTATAACAGGAGCCCAGCTGTAAAAGCCCCACGTGACTGCGCTTTTACAAACAAAACGCAGACTGCACAACCACTATAAACCAAAGTCAAATTGTGATTGGCATGTAATGAGAGCTCGAGTGGTGATACGCATGCAAACACGTCAACCCATGATGCTGTTTATCCTTCATTCATTAGCGAAGCTGCACCTGTCCGCAGCGTGAAAAAGCCGCCTCTGTCTGGCGGCGCTGGAGCCTTGCGTGACAATGGCCCGCAATTTAGCGCCGCCGCAGTCGAAACGGCCGATCCGGCCATGAATGTTTCATGTGCGTTTAAAAATTCACTCTCTGATGTAATGTCCATTGTACTGTAAATGAAATATATTGCCGGCTATTACGGGGCTTTGTGGCGATTACCGTGGCGGCTTTGTCGGCGGGGCCGGTGCGACGGCCGGCGGCATCAGGCCGCCGCACGGTCAGCGGCCGACTGACGCCGGTCAGCCGCGCACGGCCGGTATTGCTGCCGTTGGGGCTATCGACTGGTCACGACGGACCGTTGCACGCGGTCAGGGGGCCGACGGGCGCCGCCCCCTCGGCTGAGCTGGGGCGACGCCAGCGGCGCGGTGCGCGCTGCGGTGGGGCTGCGGCCGCCTCCCCGCCTCTCTGTTCAACTGTCGCGCTGACGTGGCTGTCGGCGTCTCGCGATGCCAGTGGAAGAAGGCAGGTCAAATCCGTGGGGATGTCCTGGCTTGTGGTGGGTTTCTTTAAATGTCGTCCATTTCTCCCGCAAATTATTTAGCCAAATTACTTTTGGAGGACGCGCTCTTAGATGCTTGGATGTCTAGCAGATAGTCATAAAAATGCATGACTTCAGGCGACTAAATGTCTGGTCCATAAACCCGGTCGGGCGTACACCGACATTTGCTTGTCTTTTGAATCATGTAATATCGTGATCCCCCCCCCCAAAAAAAATCAGCAGGTTAACTGCTGTTCTTAAGGATGGCCTTTGATGTTGTGTGATATAATCAGCAAAGTAAACCTAGCTGCGGTGGTGCAGTAGCATGGTTCTGACACGACATCCGATGGTATGCATAAATCAACACAATAAAAAGAGGTCACAGCGACCGTGGAGAGGCACAGGCAACGCCCGTCTCGCCATGGACGACTGTGTCATGTGTTTTGAGGTTGACCGGCCGCTGATTGGCTGTTGCAGCCCTGACGTAGTGCGTGACAGCTGCCTAGCGCGCCAGGCGCTAGCTCAAAACAGGCGTCCAAGTTCGAGCCACACACTCGAAAGTTTCATTGCGGTTTTTGCAAATAGAGGCACACATTCTGAATTGTCATTTTCAGCCTTTTCACGTGCCCATCGCCACTTCGCACAGTACCTTTCTCGGCATGACATTGTTCCCGCATCGTCGCAAAATCCTCACGCCACCGCGACGTCAGAGCAAGGATCTATCTACTTCTCCTCTGCTGAACCGAATCCACGACAGAGTTGACGCAGCCGTCGGAGCCGACGGACCCGTCGGAGCCGTCGGAGACGTCGGACCGAAGGAGCCGCCGGAGCCGACGGGCGCGTCGGACCCGTCGGGGCCGTCGGAGCCGTCTCGTCGGCTGCTCTCACGGCCGGCTGCTCCGGCGACGAGCCGCGTTGTGACGCTGATTGGCCGCGCGTCAGATAGAGGCACGCACGGCGTCACTCGGCGCAACAGCGCGCCCGGGCGGCGGGGGACCCCCGAGCCGGGCGGACTGTCGCCGGCCGCCGGCCGACGCCTGGTCTGACGCGCGCTGACAGGCGGACACTGAGGCGGAGCAGGGCTCAGGGCCGCACCGGCTCCGCACAGGCAGCTGACGCTCTTCGCTCGGCAGCGCTGGGAGGCCTGTGAGACTGCTGCCATGCTTTTATTAGTTTGGTGGATGTCTGAGCTGTATTCATTCGCAAGGTGTGCACCCTTCCAGTGGAGTAAGAACACCCGGCAAGAATGCATATTAATGCCAACACCCACCTCAACCTTGAAAAAGTCTGCACGAAAGTCTGCACATGTTCGTGGGCGTGTAGCTCAGAAATAAGAAGGCTTTAGGCCTTAAAAAGAGCAGGGATGCAGGCTGCGGCAAATGATCTTTAATATGTCTATTTCAGCTCAAAACCCCATGAAATGGGAAACAGTTCTTTAAAGAGAATGTTCCACGTTTGAAAATATTGAAGCAAATATCAAACATGATTAAATTGGCTCACTTATTACTCTTCG